GTCTTTTTTAGCTTGTAAGAGTTATTCTTTATATATAGTTTGGCTATTTATATTACAAATTACAAACTACTATAGGATTTTGTGAATCCTATTGTATAAAGAAAATTGTTAAATACATTCTAATCAAAAAGATATGACTTTGCTCAATACAAGCAATAATATAATAATTAATTGCAATTATAGAAAAAATAAAAAATAATTAAGTAAATTTTATATGTAATGCAAATTGAACATTTATAAAAATTTCTTTAAATAAGAAAATAATTAAAATATAAATATTTAAATATTTACTAAATAAAATATTACAAAGTAATAAAAATTTTCTTTAATTTAAATAATTATATTATATTATTTAGTTTCTTATATTATCATTATTATTTGTAATAGCAATCAAAAGAATGTAATACCTGAATTTTTTACTAACTATTATTGATAATATACCTGTATTATATTGTATATAAAGTTTTTAATTTTACTAACAAAAATTTTTATTTTTAGCTCAAAAAATAACTAGAGTTCTCTAGTTTGACATATATTTTTTTCAGATTTTTTGTCAGATAACTTGTTTTAATTATGAATAAAAATAATTAATTAATAATTAATAATGATTAATTATTTTTATTCATAATTAGAACAAGTTACCTGACAAAAAATATATAATAAACTAGAAAGCTCTAGCTATTTTTTATATTAAAAATAAAAAAATATTTGTAATTAAAATTAAAAATATTTATATATAATAAAAATAGTATTTTACTAGTTATAATTAGTAAAAGTTTCAAGTATTACATTCTTTTAATTATTATTATATATTTTATATATTATATTATAAAACTTTAGTAATAAAATTAAAAAATTTACATAAAATTAATAAGTTATCAAATTTTATTTATAATATATTTTTAAAATATAAAATAAAAATATTTATAAAGAATCTATATTATTAAAAATTTAACTAATTCACATAATAGAACAATAGAAATAGTTATTAATGTTTATATTTTTAGTAATATATTACTAATAAAAATACAAATATAATTTTCTCTTCATATAAATATATTCTTTTATACAGTAAAAAAAATATGATTTTAAAAAATTATAACTGTAAAAATCAAATTTTCTATGCTTTATAATATCTAAAGCTAAAAAAATATAATCATAAAAAGAATATATCTATATAAAAGATAATTATATAAAAAAATTATAATAAAATTAGTTTATATAAATTCGAAATTTTATATTATGAAATTTATTATAAATATTAATTTTTCAAGATAATTTGTTCTGATTCCTTCATTATAACAAACACCAAGATTATATTGCATAAAGTATCTCCACTTCTATGCTTTTTTCTCATCTTTTTGCGCTCCGATTCCATGTTGGTAGAAAAATTTTAATAATGTGAAGTTACTCGTATCTTGAAAGTTGCGAAGAAAAAATTTTTAATTGTTCTTGTGTATACATAATTATTGAGTACATATTTCATGAGTTTTACCAGAATTGAGCATATTATATAAAATATTAGATAATTCATTGCTTATTAGTTCTAATGTTTTTCCAGTAATCAAAATTTCAGGGTTTAATTGTATCTGTGTCAGCAATATCTTCTATATTTCATACTCAAACATACTACTTCGAAAGTGTTGATTGTAATATTATCTGATATATTTATTGATAATTCTGATGTATCATCCTCTTTTTTCAAATGACAACGACAAAATACTTGATTTCTTCATGTAGATGTTCACTTTAAGAATATCAGATCGATTATCTGGTATACTATCCCAACATTTCTTTTATAACTTAACATATTTGGTAAGCGTCCCTAAGATTGTAATTTCTTTTTCATCCGTTGGATTATACAATGCATAACCTGTTTTTTTATACGTTGGAATGCGACCGCTAGATAGAATCCAAAAAAGGCTAAAGATATCAGATTTTTCATCTCGGCGATAGTCAAGATTTAGTAAAAATGCGGGGTCAACATAATTAATGATTCCATATTCGTTCTCGAATTAAAAAAATCATTTAAAAGTTTCGAATATCCTAAATCCAAAATTTTTTGATTTCTCTTGGTGCACCAGTACATTATTATGGTTCTAGAAAGTTACAGGTAAATTATAGCTACTTTATCTATAAAACAAAAATTTTTATAGTAGATAGTTAATTTATTACCAGATCTCTATGGATTATTACGGAAAAATGTATAAATTTATGCTAGTTGCAATGTAATTTTAATTTTATCTCTGGTAAGTTTTCGATTTGCTAAGAAATCTTTTAGAGTGCCGCTATCAAAACAAGCATTGAAGTTTGATCTATTTCATAAAGTTTATAATAAAAAACGCATATTATAATGATAAAGCTTTTATGTAATAGCAAATACATTTATAAAAAAATAATTCAAACTTACAAACAAAAAAAATTATGTACATGTAATAAACAAAATGTCAATTCACTACGTGTTCATATAATATATAATACGTGTAACAAACATGTAATGCTGAAATGAAAAGATTCACATTCACAAATGGAACAAAAGAAAACTACAAATATAAACACACAACAATAATTATCTTATTTGTCTTATTATTTCAAACAATTCGCCCTTTATAAATAAAGCTCAAAGAGGAATATTGTCGTGCCTTCTTTGTGTCCTCGTTGATCTATCGAAGTTTGGCTCTTAGAACGTTTCAAACCAAGCTTCGATATCATCTGGATCGTCTAGATCGTATTTCTCGATAGGTTTTAGCGAAGGAGAATTAGGAGGAATTGTAATAGAAGCAGGATTGGACTCTCCCACTTTAGAGGTTGATGCATCCTTCCTAATATTCGTAGACATCCTCTTGTTTGTCCATTCTGATTCCTCTTCTTCATCTGAAGAAGAGTTCCTTTCTGTATCCTCTTCTTCGTCTGAAGAAAAGGTTGCGCTAAAAATATTCGACGATCTCTTTCTTTTAGTGGTGCCGAAACGGTTGCTGCTTCTATGGCGACTAATTTTGTATCCGTATTTTTCTTTCCAATAATATTCTCCTCCCGCTTATCTGATGTCGAGTAATCTAATTTCTTAGATTTTCTTGGTCTCTCAGCCTCAGCAATAATCGAATTGTCTTGATCTTTAGAAGTTTCAATTTTATCCTGAGACCTCTTTGTTTGTTGAACTTGTGCGGCTTCGCTGGGTAGTATAGGCGGAGTATTTGGGATCATATCAGGAATTTTGAAGAAGGTAAAGGTTGAGGAGATTTTTGTGATGGTAATCTCCTTCTTGTGGCATACCGTTTCTTAGCAAATGGGTCGTTTTTAGGAGAGGCAAGAACTCTATACATTTCTCTGTAAGTAGATTCTTGCCTTACATATTTAAAGTCAGGAGGATATTCTAACTTTCTAAATTTTAATTTTGGTTCTGGACGATCTTCTTTACTTTCTTGAGATCGTAATCTTTTCCTCCTTGGATTTGCTATTGGTGACGGATCAATTTCTTTTCCTTTACCCTTCTCAATTTCCTTCGTATTAGTAATATTTGTTGCAGCAATAGTCATTAACTTTTGTGTTGTGTTGTTATCCATTGGTGCTTGTGTTGAATTGCTACTATCCACTTCTTGAGGTAGTAAGCTTTTCGTCCTTGGATTTGATCCATCAATCATTGCTTCAGCATATTTCGATAGTGATGTGTTAATCTCATTTCCCTTACTCTTTTCTTTCTTTTTCTCAACCTCCATGTTAGTAATATTAGCTGCAATATTGTTATCCGCTGGCACTTGTATTGAGCCGCTACTATTCACTTCTGTCCGCGTAGTGATTGTCTGCGTAGCGATTGAATGGTGATGCCTCGAGACACCTAGCATGCGACATAAACTAATAAGTTTCATCGTTGCCCATTCCTTGATATCTTGGATTAAAAGAGAGTGATGACGACGAGGTCTACCATGATTATTATTGTTATTGTTGTTGTCGTTGTCGTTGTCGTTGTTGTTGTTTTGATAAGGGGTTGCATCGATATGCTGACGAGTGTCTAATGGGACCTATTTCACCGCTGCCGAAGTTATCATTTACAGATGGTTCATAACTTTGGCTAACACCATTAAACATCGCTTCATGAAAAGCATCAGATGGCAGTGAACCAGTACTTTCTATGTCGTGGGAAATAGATCCGTTATGTAAAGACATTTTTATTCTTTATCGCCGCTGCTATATTGTTTTTATGTGCGAAATTTAACCGCTTTTGTTTTTAATAGTCGATAATAATAAATCTCCTTGTATTTTAGATAAGTGACGGGTGGGCTAGATAGAAAATATATACCGATATATGGCTCGGAGCAAATGTGATATGAGCTATCAAAAATCAAATTATAAGATTTTGATTCGATTTATTGTTATGCTTTTCATCTTTATATATATGTTTTTTTATTGTTAACCCATGCACACGAAAAAATGTAAATCACGAAAACTTTATGATTCTGATTACATGTACCATGCATTAAGCTAGCCCAAGTTAACTTCACGAATATCGATAAAGTATGTTGATTACAAACACATCTATCATAATGTTTATTTTGAAACGACGACATGATGATGATACGGTTTTATCACACTCCAAAAAATGTAATATCGACACATGTTATTGGAAGATACGTGAGAAACCGACGTATTTTTTATATAATTGGACAAGTGTATGGGTGCTCGCAATATACACACGATAATTGAAATCACAAAAGCTTTATGATTCTGATTGCATGTACCATGCATTAAGCCAGTCCCCAGATAGCCAAGTTAACTTCACGAATATCGATAAAAATATGTTGATTACAAACACATATACTGTATCATTAGTTATTTTTAAAACGATGATGATACGGTTTTACCACACTCCGAAAATGTTATTGGAATTTTTATATAATTGGATAAGAGTGTGCGTGCAATTGTCACCTGAAATTTAAAATTAGATTGCACTTTGAGATCGTAAATTATAATATATAATATAAATTGAAAAACTAGTCCTCTCCTTAATACGCATATTTCAATTGACTGGGTGAAACGGGGTGGTGTCTCATCGATACTAACAAGATTTTCTTCTTTGCTCTTTTATGCGTCGCCAAAACATTATCAGATAAAAAGATAATTTGTTGAGCACGAAAAGCTCCGAGACTCTGTGTCAATTTTGGATGTTTCTAGATCGTTTGAATGCAGATCGATTATCATCTCATATTTGTACATGTACTTATAAAAGAAATCACGCGTCAATCTCAGCTGGAAGGGATTTTCAAGCAGTGTATATTGCAGGCGTTCTTCCTAAACCAATTTCAATAGGCAGATATTTTTATCTTTCGCTCAATCCCGAAAACTAATTGATACATGCTTTTCCCGATTGCATATGCCATTATCACGTATGATTAAAAAGTATAAAGTACCTGCCGAGACATCAACCGTTGGTTTGCGGCCAATGAAATATAAAGACGTACTTAAAGTGATGTTTGGGGGAAGTGCTGAATGCACAATAATTTGAGCAATTAAAATGCCTCAAATCACTAGATATAAATTTACAGACATATATTTGCTGTCGCTACAATATAAATTTCGTTTTTCTCATAATGTAATGGGAATTTTTTATTCTATCAGATCATCTGTGGGAACATTTTATTAATGTAGTATAAACTATGTTCTGCGGCAATTGGTGTTTGGGGGAAGCGCAATAATTTGAGCAATTAATGCCTCAAATCACTAGATATAAATTTACAGATATTTGCTATTGCTACAATATAAATTTCGTTTTTTTATAATAATCTACCCTGAAATGGGAATTTTTTATTCTATCAGGTCATCGGTGGGAACATTTTAATAATGTATGCAAAACTGATAGAATGATAATAAATACTATAATTATTAATAATATTAATAATACAATTATTTATATTGGCTATTTAGTCAAAACAATATAAAAAAAGGAGCCCACCGTGACTATTCACACTATAAATAATACAACAATTTGTATAAAAACACATATCATTTTCTTTTAAATACACATAAAAGTTACTTTTAAATACACAACCGTTGCAACTTTTAAAATTATTAAACACAATGCCTAAAAACGACAAAAAACGATCTACTGATAACATTGGCCAAGTAAAAGCAATTTCAACAAATGAAACCATCATTATTACTTCACTACAAAATGAAGTCCAAGAATTACGCGAAACGGTGAATGAACTCTCGATATACAAGGAAATAATTTTTTATTTTCGCCTTTTACTTTATCTAAAGACGTGGCCTTTTCCTTGATTTCAGATGATTTATTTTGCATTTCCATGAAGTATTTTTTTATACTCATTATTTTTATTCGCGACATAAGCTTGTTCTTGACGTAGTTGTGCATTTTCACTCGCTTTGAAGAATACAGACCAGAAATCTATTGGGAAGGTTAAATTTTCATAATGCATTTCAAACAGTCTAGAAAATTTACAATATATATTTCTTTATATCCAGCATATTTTCTCTTCTAAGCTTAAGTTTTTAATTAAATATATTTAGCATGATAATATATTAAGATATTTTTTATTATTATATTACTTAGTCGCAAACTCCTTTTAATTCCTGTTTATTACACCTTGCAATGTCTGGACTTTAGTGATCTTTGGAATTTTAGATCGATCTCCCTTGACATTCATATCCTTTTGATCGATCTCCCTTGACATTCATATCCTTTTGCTTCGAATTTATTATTTAGAAACGATAGTACGTGTACTAAAAAGATGGATAATTATAGATATAATATTGATGTGAATGATCTAATCAAATAAAATAAATATTTTACCTCAAAGCTTGCGTACAAGCGACCTTTATTTCTTTTGTACCTAACATAATTAGATAGTGGAAGAACTCCAATCACATGGTAACTTACCATTGGTAATTCCTGTAAAAGGCTCATATATATATAAAGGCGAGTTCTTGGCCTTCCACAAGAAACCAAATAAAAGTAAAGATATTACTTGTGAAATCCTTTTACTTACGCAATATACTTTTTGTTGTTACCTTAAATCTTGCGTACAAGTGGCTATTCTTTCTTTTGTGCCTAAAATAAATTAATAGTAGACGAACTTCACTTTAAATAAACATATTCACTCTGAGCATTTTGTTTGCAGTGCCTTATTCTTTTGATTGTTAATTTGTTGGCTGCTCAATAAGTCCAACCTTTTTTTATTGTTGGTAGTGAGCAGAAACTTTCGGAATCCATTGAATTCTGCTCAGTATCCCCTTTGAACATATTACCCGAGACCCCTTTTATCATTATAAGTAGAGTAGTTTTCGTAAAGACTATCAAGGAGACCTTTAGAACAATTAGAGCACTCTTCGTTTTGTAAATCATTCAGTCCGCTCTCCTCACCATTGTTTTACGCTCTACTTTCTCTAGATCCAATATCTTTAGGAAGTAGGGTAACTATTATAACTGGTTTGTCTCTTGATTATACTTATAAAATACTTTAGTATTTTTGATATTTAGTATTTTCCTTTATTTTTCATTGTCGTCGTTGTATTAATTCTACATATCTTCTCTCTATAATATGCTGTTATTGCATCATGTTTCATGCACAAACTTTTCTTATAAAAGAAAGTGCTACCAAATGTCAAAAAACAAAAAAAAAATCATGAGGAACCCGGATAAAACATAATAATCCCTACCCTCAAAAAATCTTGTCGGGGCGTTTCATTTATCTGATGCAAGCTCAATACCTACTGGTACATTCGTGGAATAACTAAAAACTCAGTTACAAATGAATATTCAATAGTAATAGTGCTGAATTATTCAAAAATGCTGATTCCCATAAATAAATGTACAGTAAGATTTAGAATTCTATAATTAAATCGAGAAAACCGTATCTTTTTCCGACATGTTATTTTCTTGAATTGTGTGTACATGTATATGACAAATTTTTTTCTGGTAAATTTTGCGTTATCATGAGGCGTATCTTATCATGACATAATTTAGATGACTGATAGCCAGTTTTGGAAAATTTTGAAGTCAGACGCGCTTGTTATCATTATGCGCCTGCTTTACACATCGTGGGAATAAACTCAAGAACAGATTTAAAAATTTACACAATTAAATTAGTGTTCAACTTAAACTTAATAAATATTTATAATATATAATTGATAAACTAAAATGAAAAAGTAGCGAGGCGTATCATGATCATTTGATTTAGATGACTGATAGTGATGAAGAAGATTTGCGTTTTTTATTAGCCATCTTCTTGAACTTATTTTCTCTTTATTCCAATTATCTTCCGTTTTTGCACCATTCGAAATAATCCTTCACTCACAACAAGTAATCTTAATAAAGGATAAATTACAACACAAAAACATTAAACAGATTTCAAGTTAGTTGACCCAGATAATATATTTAGTTTTACGCGACAAAGAACATACGAGAATTCATTTATGCGAAGTTATAATATTTATTAAAGTATAATTAATTTATAGATAAAAGATATCGTTAGTCATCATTACGAGCAAAATATTTTCTCTCTAAAACGCGATACATTCCGGAAGCATATATTAACGAAATTCTCATTTATTTTATTATAGTAAAGATGGTCTGTAACAGATCTTTTGTTAGATAAAGTAGAGTTATGGTATGTAGTCAATAATTACGCGTTTTTCTGCAAAATTTTCACCAAATCTGAAAAATTATGTTTCGCATTTGACTGTTCAATATATATATATAGGTTTAAAACACATAAAATGGACTCTCAATATAAACCTATTGATCCAAACAATGCATCCTCAAAAGACGCATATCATACGAGCTGCTGCTCAAATACTTTCAAGTAAGCATCTTTAATATAGGTGTACAAAAGTTTTAATGCTTAAACGCGTTTAGTTATTAATTTATTCAAATATAGGTCAAAAGTCTTCCAAGAGAGACTACCTGAACTCGATCTAAACGCAAAAAAAGCCATCTAAACAGGCTAAAGTCTTTTTTGAGTAAATATCAGTAATGAAGAAATATAATAATTTATTGATTTAACTTGCAATATCTCGAAATATTAGGCATTTAAAACGATACCTAAACATGTATCACCCGGTGCTGGGTTTGAGCTAGGGGAAACATTGCGTTATACTAATTCTAAAACAGAGGCATGTATCCTCGCGACTAAGCGTTGGACTAAAGGCGAGATTATACGATATTGCAATAGAATTCTAGTCGAATAACTAAGGAAGAGGAATCAAAGTTGAATAATGAAAAAGATTTTTCTATAATCGCTTCAGCACGTAAAAAAAGAAGTTTTATTTATGTTGGACCTGGTCGCTTTGTCAATGTGAGATATATCTATTTCCTTTTTTGATATTATGTAATTCTTGTCATTAATTATTAACTGTATACATGTATAATTCTAGCATGATTGTGATCCAAATACCGAAGTAAGTCATTATTGATATTTTTTGCTTGCTATTTTAGATTGAGAATTTTCTAAATTTATTCTATAATAGTTTTATATACAAGGATCTCAGCATATTGTCTCTTTTCAAGCCCTAAGGGACATTGAAATAGGCGAAGAAATTACCTGTTCCTATGGAACAGATTATTTTGGTGATAGCAGCTGTAAATGTTTATATCTGACTTGCGAAAGGTGTTTAATTGTCTGATTTAAGATGCATAATTTAAATTATTTACTAATACGTTTCAAGTCTATAGGATAAAAAAGGTAAAGGCAAGGAGCCTGTATATCTAAATTCAATGGTAATAGTAATCAAGAGGTGTCACAATCTCTGGAAATTGGTGTGCGTACAAGAAGATATCATAAAAGTAATGATAATTAACTTTCTTAAATTTTTTGTTATAAATAATATCATAAAAACTTACCAAAATGTTATTATCTTGTTCTTTTCTTTTAGTACACTTCCCAAAATGCAAAGCAATCAAAAAATGTGGCATCAGATCCTGCTAGCTTGTCAAAGTCCCCAAATAGTAAAGCAACGAAAAGGCAAGCTCCAATTGTGCAATCTCAAACATCAAACTCTTCTCTGAGACTCCATACGTCGAAGACACCGTCATCTATGTTAAAGCAAGCTCTTTTAACACAATCTCGGTCTGAAGAGCAAATGCAACGATGTAATAAGTCTGAAAGACACCAAATTTTGATGTTAATAATACACTGCCAGCAAATTTTTATCATAATCGATCACCATACGGATTTCCTACATCGCGAATGCAAATTCATCCAACTGGCCCTCAACATAACTTCAATCCGGTCCATTACATTCATCTGCTACGAATAACCTGGACAAGTTGTGACCACTGGCCGCTCTTTTACTACTAGTTTTTGTGTGTCCACGACGTGGTAATGCGCAGCCAAATAATTATCCCACAACATCCACCACAATATACAGCTTCAACATTCGCACAAAAACATCAAATCATTGAATGTCCGTAAATATCGAAGATGAGATAGCCGGCTCTAAACCACTTAATCAAAATAGAAGAAAAAGGTTGGGGCCGGCTATAAAGGGAGAGGGTGATGTTGATGAGGAGAGGCTATTGAAGAGAAGAAGAGTGTAATGGTCGCCTCAGCAGTGAGCTGGAAAATGTGACTGTGCGGCAGGCAGGTCGTTTCTCAGCAAAAGGAGTTCCGATTCATCAGTAACTGAATCAAGAGATTAGATTTCTGATGAATCAAACTGCTAGGGTACGTAAGAGAGTGTAGATGTTTTTGGTAGTGCATTCATGTATATTGAACAATAAAAATTGGATTCTATATATCAATTATTCTTGAGTGTAGGTGTTTTGGTAGTGCATTCATGTATATTGAATAAAAATTGAATGCTATATATTAATTATTCTTTGACTATACTGCTTTTTTGAATCTTTGTATCTTTGCTTGTGCGCGTATAAGATATTGTTTGAATTAGGATTAAAAATACCAAAAATATAACCGAAATAGTTTAGGCACCTACCTCTAAATTAGAATTTAACGTTTGATTTTTATAATGATTGATAAATGTAACTGATTATTGTTACCAGTAAGCTTGAGCAATAAACACTACGAAGATTTTCTCGATTACCAAGCCGTTTTTGAAATTTTACCTATGTAACTACTTTTCTTGCGATTTGATTGGTTTACCCCTTAAAAAAATATGTGATTCTGGCTATCATTATCTACGCCGATTATGACATTTTAATTGACGTAAAAGTGATATAAGTGATATGAGTGACATTCCCATAAAGATACAATTGCCAATTATATACATATGTATATTCCTTTAATAATTCGCATTAATGATGATAAATTCAATCATGTATCTAATTTTAATACATGTATTGTATATGCTGTTTGGGAAGGTAAACTTGCACAAAGTTATTCTCATTTTCTAAATTAAAATTATCCTTAACTTTTACATTACGTGTGGTACAAACTGTAATATTTATCCATGAGCAAATATTTATTTTTAACTTCCGTATATATTATAATACATATATGCAATTCATTACAATAATAGCATGTACTAAAAATCAAATGTGTTTATTCGAAATTATTTTCATATTATATAACAAATATAGCAAAGAGATTAATTTCAAACTTTAAAAAGTTTTCATTAATGTTCAGCATAAATGTCAAATTTACAATATCATAGCACATATTTTGGCAGTTGTCACATATAAAGTATACTTGAATGGATTTAGGGAATTTTCCCTGTAACAAAGGTTAAGCGAGAGTAATTAGGCTAATTATGCTTGTTATACTCCACCTCTTGCCATATTTATGATCTTCAATAGGTTGGGTGAAATAGGAGTACAGAATTTTAAATCAAGGTAAGGTGTTTTTTGGAAATAGGGAAATCTATTTTAACAATTTCCATCAATCCACTAATTCATAAATAATACCTTTTCTAGATAAAAGGTTTAACTCTTATTCATCAAATCAATCAATTGTCAAAATTAATCAATTTTTCAAAGACCTAACAATCAACAAAAATTAAGATAATCAAGATTTAATTACTTAGAGAAAAATTGTACACATCCTATTTCTACATTTATTGATGACTCAAGTGTTATTCTTTATATAAATTTTGTTAGAAGTTTTTAATTGATCAACGAAACTCTAATTATGCAATAAAATTTATTATATTGTATTCTCGATATTACGTTTCTAAAATTTATGACAAAAAATAAGACAAAAACATAATACTAAAAAGATATAAAGCAAAAAAAGAATTATGCTGAAAAATATGCTGTGTTATATGATTAATTGTGTTGAAGAATACGATGAAAATTATGCGTTCGATTGTGCTGAAGAACATGTGTCACATTACGCGAGAAAAATATGTTATATTGGGGGTATCTCACGCACTAGTTAATCAAAACTATGTAAGGTATAATAATAAAAATCGATAGTACAGGTTTTTTTATGTATTGTTTGATATTTATGCACCCATGTAGATCCCGAGCAGACCCAACTATATTATTTGGCCAATAGAATTTAAGATCTGTGTATAACGTGATAGGTAATTTGCTTCTATATTGTTTTAAGTATTATAAAAAATTTTTAACATTAATAATTGATGACTTATAAATAATTGTTTAAACAGATATCTGTCTCTTGCTCTCGTTGCCTGTCTGACTGGATTAATAAAGCGGAATCTTGTGGTTTGTAAGCTATTCTGTTTTCTTTTCGAATATCTCTCAATTGTTCACCAGTTACTTGAATTTCGTCCATTTTTGCTACAGCAAGACGCATTATAGCTTGTTGGATAGAATTGGTCATGTTCGGGTGGGTTTTTAAGTCCCACTTATTGAATATGCCCTCAATTTGCTGCTGGTGAACAATAATGTACCAAATTTTGTTTTTAACGAAGTCGTATAGCAGCGGGAATTGGTGAAATGGGCATTGATTCACTAACGAATGAACTGAATTCTTAAAAAAACATTTCATTAATTAATAATCCTTAAGACTGAAATAATCAAAATTTTCTTTAATAACGTCGGTTTCAAGATACTTTGCATAGCAAAGTTCTTTTAGACTAGGAATTTTCGGCCAAGGCTTTTTAAGTACTACATGCCTATAAAAGCCAGTCGAACAAACGCTCATTTTTTAGTTTAACCTAATTAACGATAATAAAAACGAGAATTAAAATGACGTAGCGTTAAAACTATCTCGAAGTTTACAATAAAATTCGACATTAATAAAACAAAAGGCTTTTTGTCAATGTTACGGTTTTAGATTTTCAGTTTTAAAGGCCAATTCGTCAAATTCGTGACAAACGTTCATTTTTTAACAAAAATCTATATAATAAAACAAAAGAAGAAATTCTCGTTAATATCACTAAATGGTTAAAAATTTAAACTGTAACTTCTTTTGACTACACTACATTAATTGTTTACCACAAAAATCGTTAGAAAAAAATCGTTAGTACACGACTTGCGTCAATTTGTTGAACACTAATCTTTACTAATAAATTACTAGTAACGACGCAGCAATTTTGCCAATCAATTTTATGCATAAAATCTAACAGTAGTTGCATTATTATTGTACCCTTACATAGTTTGATTAATTAGTGCGCGAAATATCCCAATGTTACATGTACATGTACATGACTGGTTGAGGCACAGCCGGGAAATCAACGAGATAATGGTAACAGTAGCTTTTTTTTGTGGGTGATGTTAGCAAATTTCTAAAAACTCAATGATTAATATAAGCTTGCGAAAATTTTTATTATAAAAAATAACAATAATTGTAAAATTGTAAATACAGAGGGTTATCAAAGTTTCCGAACGAATTTTTATGCAATATAAAACACATAATTTTTAAAACTTGGCCAAAAAAAACTTTATTAAAACTTTATTTTAAGCTTATCAAAATCTACATTACATATTATTAAACTAGTATTTAATTGGGCCACCTTCCGCCGTAATCACCGCCTGAATTCGTGCTGGCATACTATTGACTAAATTTTCGATCATACATTTCGGAATTGCTTTCCATGCATCCAGTTTCGGCATACCTTTTTAATGTATCATAAACTGTTGTTTTGCCACATCCAACAGTTTCTGCAATCTGATTATACGAATTACCATTTTTACAAAGATAAAATATAGCACCTTGTTGTTCTATGGTTAATTCATTATTTTTTCCCATTGTTGCAGTTGTTATCACAATTTGTAAAAAAAAATGAAGTTAGAAAGAAAAATTGAATTAGAAATGTTTTTAAGACAAAATAAACAAAAACAAATCATATTTGTATAATAAACATTACCTTTTTTGTATAGCAATTGCATTCCAAAAATCACGTTCAGAAACTTTTGATAACTCTCTATATAATAAATAATAATTATCAGCATTTCTGTTTATTTATAAGATAATCAAAACTAAAAATACATGTAAAAAAATCAAAACTAAAAATACATGTAAAAAAATCAAAACTAAAAATACATGTAAAAAAATCAAAACAATAGTTTAGTTGAAGAAACTAGAAATTGTTAATAATAGAATTATTATCATAAATTATTAGATATTAAATGCCTAATAAAATAAAAAATATCAATAATATACATATAAATATATATTAAATATTTAAAAAAAATTTCTCTAAATAATTTGAATAAAAATAATTTATTATGAATTAATAATAATATTAAGCATCTTAATTAATAAGAATATATTTCTTCAAAACAAAATAATTCAACCAGCTTTGCAGTGTGTTCATGACCATGTTCATGAGCTTTTTATATCATTTTAATATCATATCAAGATCTTTTAAAATGCCAAAGCCATATTATTAGCATTCTACCAATTTGAATTGAGAATATTTAAAATCAGATTCTGCAAATCTCACCTATCATTCAAATATTCTTTACTTGTTCTGTTTGTTTAATTTTCTTAAAAATAGCATTCTGCAAGAAAACAGGAAGCATTTAGAGTATGAACATTTTTTAACTTAGCTATTTTATAGAAACATGAAAATGCTTTCTTCAAATCTCTATTTGTATTATTACTATGATAATAACATAATCTAAGATTATATAGCCTACTAATATTTCTCTTCTCTGCTGATTTCAAATATATTCAAATGCTTTTTTCTCATTTTTTCTAGTCTCTATACCTTCTTTGTAACAATAACTGAGATTATATTATCCTCTTGCACTTCTATTAACTGCTGATTTTAAATACTAATCAAATACTTTTTTTCATTTTGATTTGTCTCTATATTAATTTGATAAAATAAATCAAGATCATATTATCTCAAGAATCTATATCCTTCACCAACTTTAAATACTATTCAAATGCTTTCTTTATATCTTTTTGAATTTCTATAGCATTATAAAAACAGATATTAAGATTACATTATTTTTTGGAATTTTCATCCTCTGCTAATTTCAATATTAATCAAATATTATTTATTTCTTTGAGTTTCTATATCACTTTAATAATATAAATCAAGATTATATTATTCTGAAGTATTATAATAAATTACTAATAAATAATACTATTCAAATATTATTTTCTTATCTTTATATATTGCTATATTATTTTGATAATAATAATTAAGATTTTATTATTCTCTAGCACTTTTATTAACTACTAATTTCAAATATTAATCAAATACTTTTTTTATCTTATAGTATTCTTATATTATTTTGTTAATATCAGTCAATATAAAAGTATTCTATAGTATAATTGATATCTACTAATTTTAAATATTATTTAAATATTTTTTTTATCTTTTTAATTCTTATATTATTTTGATAAAATAATCAAAACTATACTATTCTTTAATATTTTATTCTCTACTAATTTTAAATATCATTCAAATATTTTTTTTATATTTTTTTAACTTCTATATCTTCATATAATAGTAATTAATATTATATTTTTCTATATCATTTTCATTCTCTGCTAATTTCAAATTCTATTTGAATATTATTTTATTATTTTTTAAGTATTTATATTATTGTTACCATAGTAGCATAAAAATTCCTAATTTCTTAATCTTTTTGTGGTTATGCAAAATCGCATTTTCTTATAACTTTTACATTTTATAATTATACCTATATTTTTACGTCATATAACTATCCTGTATCACTGTATTTATTATCACATTTCTGTATTTAAATATTATCTTATTTTTAGTTAGGATCTGCATTTTTATTATTTTGTATTATGATATTTATGTACATAGTAGAATAGTATAGTGAAA